GCTCCAAGCCCTGTCCAACCTGGATGTGAACACTTGCAGGGATGGGTTCAAGGAACCCACCAAGGATAGGTTAAGGAAGCGCTGATCTGCAAACAGTCCTACTCTTGCAACCACAGATAAAACCATTCTTGTGTCTCTTTGAACTCTATTCACCCAAGGACCCCTGTGTGCCTCTGCCACCCCTTTCCCAGGCAGCAGCCCCATATGCCCTGAGGACTCTGCACAGTCAGCTCCTGAATGGGCTGCTCTGCTCTGGATCCTTGTCTCACTCACCATCATGTGGTTATTCCAACAAAAATCAATGTCTGTGTTCTAATACTGAATGCCTCCTTATCCCAGGTGCAGGCAGCAAAGGTAAAACCCTGCATCACCCTGCTTTGCTCATTATCCCACCCATGGGGCAAGCCAAGAGATACTCCCACCACCTCCAGCTCCTCCCTAATGCCAGGATATGACATTGCAGGGGGACCTTGAGCCTCTGGTTCCTCCCAAGCCGGGGCAGAGTTTGCTCCAGCCAAGTACCTGTTGCTCCTGCCCATGAACACTCCCAGGGGCCAGACTGTCCTTGGCAGCAGTGGAAGGACACATGGAAAAGCAGGAATTGGAGCAATGCCAAGGTTCCAGGCTGGTGCAGGCAGGGGCAGCCCGAGTGGGGTTGTTGGAACCTGAACACATTTGTGGTACTGGTGGCAGGAGCAGACAGGCTGTGGGTGAAAGGCAACTGGCAGAGGTTTCAAATTCCTCTTGACAAGCCCATTTTGCCCCTTTGCAGGTGACCAGTGGGACTGAGCCAACAGCAACGTTGGAATTTATAAAGTTAATAAAGTTTATGCAACACTCCCCATGCCTGGGCAGTGTCCGTGCTGTGCAGAACAGCAGATACAAGTCTGGCTGTTGGCTGAGCAAGTCTCCAAGCACGAGGGGCCTGGAAAGGGGAGGCAGGAATGTGGTTTAGGGGTGGGATGAAGCCTGCTCTGTTCATGTCCACAGAGCTGCAGCCCTGTCCTGGGAAGGCAGCAGCTCCTGGTTAGAGTGCTCCCACATGGAAAAAGCAGCACAGGTTGGGTTTGGACATGGTTGCAAGAGGAAATCCTCTCCTTGCACAAACATTTTTGCAGCCTGATCAAAGACCTGTGCCGAGAGCACACCTATGTTCAGCCCAGGTGCTCTCCTGCAGGAAAGTAAAGACTGAAACCACATGCAGCAGGTGAAGGGTTATGGCACACTGAGGAAGGGCAGGGACACGCCTGGTGCAGGCACGGAGGGGCTGCTGCACCACTGAACCACAGAATGGTTTGGGTTGGAAGGGACCTCCCAGATCACCTTGTTCCAGCCCCCTGCCACAGGCAGGGACACTTTCCACTAGACCAGTTCAAATAGCAGTAACGACAGTAAATTTTCAGGTCTGGCTGCCACCAGATGGAGCTCAAAAATAAGCAGGAGGAGAAGGATGTGTGTGGGGTGATGGGGGTGCTGTGGGGCACATCCGTCCATGGTGGGGTACCTGGAGACACCAGGGGGGTTGGCAGGGCACCAGCCTGTCAGACATGGCCCAAAAACAGCTCACTCAGCAGCCACAGTGACCTCTTGGGAATGTGGAAGGGGAATATGGGGACATGATGTACAAGGTGCTGCCCACAGCAGTTTTCCTTCCTCCTCCTCCTCCTCTGTTGCATGCAAAGCCAATCCACAGCCTGGGCTTGCCCTCCAGCACGGTCTGCTGGGTTTGGGCATTTCTCAGAATCATTACTTGTTTTCTAAAAGTAGTAAACTTGGTGGGGGGAGGGGAACCCAAATTTTGCTGTCTGCTCCCAGGATGTCAGCCTGAGCTGGGCACTGCAGCCCTCCCCCAAAACTGAACCAGGTTTTTCCTTAAGAGAACTCCATAAAAGCAGGAATTCTGGGGTTCCAGTCCCTGTGGAACTGCTCCAGTGTGGGCACTGGTAAATGCTGTTGTTGGAGGCCATTGTAAATCCTGTTGTTACAGGTATCCCCTGCTCCATTTGCAGCCTGGCATGTGCCCATTTGCAGATTCAAGGATCCGAGCTTTGACCCAGTGGCATTTGGAAGCAGCCTCAGGCTAATGCGGTGTATTTCAGATGCACAGCTCATTTCTATTTTTAAGGTCCCACATCAGCGTTTGAAGGGTGAGGGGGAAGCAAAGCTGCTGGAGGGAAATAAACCAAACCAAAACAACCCCCAGCAGCAAGAGGCAGGGAATGTGAATAAATTCTCACTGGAGGCGGTGGGGTGGCACGAGGGCTGCTGCAAGGGACGAGTGAGCAGAAAACACCAGCGAGTTTTTAGCAAATATGTGAATTAATCAACAGTTAAATCACCTTAGAGGGAGCAGAGTGGGACACATCAGTCCCTGTGGAGCTGATGCCATGGGAGGTGGGTGCTTGCCCCTCCAATATCAAGCCCTACAGGAAGAAAGGGATTGTTTGGGATGTGTGCAGTGTATGGGGAACCCCTTTCATTGTCTTGCTTCTACTGCACAGTGTTTCCCTTGCTATCCCACCACAGCAGCAAGGTGAGGACACAAGACACAGGAAATCGGCTGGAATCATAGAATCACTCAGGTTGGAAAAGGCGTCTAAGGTCCACTGCTAACCCATGTCCCCAAGTGCCACATCCACAGATGTGTTAAACCCCTCCAGGGATGGTGACTCCACTGCCCTGGGCAGCCTGTTCCCATGCTTGGTAACTCATTCAGTGTGGAAATTTGTCCTGATATCCAACCTAAACCTCTCCTGGCACAATTTGAGATTGTTCCATAGAATTGTGAAATGAGAGTTTTCTCTCATCACTTGTTACTTGAGAAGAGAGACACCCACAGCAGTGGTGATGGAAACAGAACAAAAATAAATGTGCTTGGCTGTCAGATGCTTTTCCAAAATGTCTGAAGGCTGTGAAAGGGCAAGAAATGCCCTGAAATCTTTCAATCCCAAGCAAAAAAGGCAATGCCGAGGGCTTTGCTCTGAGAAATGCCATGAGGCCGCCCGGGAGCACATCTGGGGGGATCTGGACTCTCCCTGTATCTTCACTCCCAGCACAAAGGAGTCTCTGACACTTCACAGACATTCAGAAAAACAGCTTTTAATTCAGCAGGGGTTTTCCAGGCAGTTTTTGTTCACTGGACAGGGAACCATGGGCAAAAGGGCAGGCACTAACAGGTGCTGCAGTCGCTGCTGGAAATCCAACCCACCTTGGAGCAATGTGGGAATGAACTTTAACCTCCATCCAGCATCCAAAAGCTGGATTAAAAAAAAAAAAAAAAAAAAAAAGCATCCATGTGCTCATGGCATCACAGAGCAGCTCACTTAGAGCTGGATCAGGCTGGAGAATGTGCCCAGATGAAAGCCAGGGATGTGGGATTGGTGCCTTTGCTCTGTCATGGCTTCCCCTGGGCGCCTGAGGACAGTTGCTGGGTTTGTCCCTCCACGATCACAAGACCAACAAGCAAATAAAGTAATATTGACTTTACCTTTGTGTGTCCACAGTGATTTCCACGCTTGAAAAAAAATATTTGTCTCTCCAAAAATAAGTGGCTTTTGCTGGCAACCAGCAACAGAGATCCCTGTCATCCTGGGGTTGAGCAGCACCCAAAGGGCTTTGCTGGGTCCTGGAAGACCCTGGAGCATTGCCACAACCACGTCCCAGCTAGCTAGCCCACCTTGCCTTGTCTTACTCGGAAAGTTTATTTTATCTTGATTTTCCTGTGTTTTGTGAGGTTTAAAAGCTGCCATGTGCTTTCTGGGATGTGCAGCCCCACAAGAGCAGCAGTTTGCTGCCTGACTGGAAATCACATCAGATAAGTTGCTGCAATGGACTTGGGGGTCACCTTCAGGGTGCTGGCAGCCCCTGGGTCCAGACTGTGCCCAGACTGCTGGAATGCCCCTGAAGCCATTCCCTTTGGATGCACACAGTGACACAGGAGGAGCAGAGGTGCCAGTGCTGCCCTGGCCCCTCGGAGGCACAGGGGACACAGACTCTGCCCCAAAGGCAGGGACCAGTGCCTGGGGAAGCAGAGCTCAGTGAAAAGCTTACTCAACACTTTCCACCATAGAAACAACAGATCTGGAAGTGACCCTGGATGCCCCTGCAGAGCAGACAGAAAGCAGAGCAGCCTCGTGCCCCAGCTGCTCCCTGCCCTTTGCCCTGCCAGCACAGGACACCAGGAGGCACAGTCACAGCTCAGGGGTCCCATGGCCTCAGCTGCCATCGGGGCTGCAGCACCTGGTGCACACAGGGCCAGCCCCACACCTCATGCTGCGGCTGGAAGCAGAGCAGGAAGATTTGGCACTTTTAAATCAACCTCTGCAAGGTTGGTTTTTTTTGCCTCCAGCAGGAACAAAGGCACTCCCTTCATGCAGGCACCTGCAGGCTTTTGTTTTCCCAGCTATCAGACTGGTCACAGAAGGATCAAACAGCCAAAGTGGATAATTGAAGGCAAAAATCAGGCAAAACAGCGCTTAGGGCAGTGCAGCACTTGAGCCAGCTGGGATCCAGGGCTGCAAACCCAGTGCAGCCTCTGAGCTGCCATCCACACCATGAGCTCCAGATTGATATCCAGATCCATAAAATGCATGTCTTGAGCAAGTTTTATCTCTCTCTTCATTACGGAGGGGTCACTGTGCACCCAAATCCTTCCCCCAGCCCCAGCCACACTTGCTCAGGCCCTGGCACTCACTCCTACCCCTCAAGGTACCAAAGCAGTGCAGGGCAGCCATGTGTTCAGGAGCAAAACAAGTTCAGTGCCAGCAGGGACAGGCTGTGTAGCCAAGTAAGGAGAGAAGAGGGTGAGGGAAGGCGTGTGCAGCACCACCACAGCCCAGCCAGATCCTGCTCATGTGCAAAACACACACTGCCCAGTGAGTCAGGCTGGCACGGGGCACCACCACATCCTGCTGCTGCGGTCAGGAGCTGTGCTGGGTCCTGGTCCAGCCCCACCAACACCCCTCTGCACTGCCCTCCACGGATAAAAACAACCCACAGCGTTTTAAAAGGCTGCTCAAGTTTATTCGTGTCCATTGTATGAGTTTAAGGTAATAAAAAGGTGTTACCAAGTCTTGGAGAGGGCTTAGTTACACTGGGAGAGAGTAAAAAAGGCTGGAGTGGAATCGTCGGGGTCGCTGCAGTTTTCCATCAGAAAGCAGCACCTTTTTCTTGGAGCAGCCACTACTCTACAGGGGAGGGGCTGTGCCTGCCAGGGTGGGGGAGCCCTGCTCACACCGAGGGCCCCGCGCTGGACTCGCTGACGTGGCGCCTCCGTCCTGCACCTGGGGCTGCCACCAGCGCACAGGCCATCGGTCCAGTGGCCACCCGCAGAGCTCCCAAGCTGCAACACACAGCAGAGAGAGAGTCAGCCATCATGCCGACCCCCAAATGTGGCATTGCTGCTCTGTATTTATTCCTGCAGCAAAGGCGTGGGAGCCCTGGGCATGGACATGGTCCATTGGGTCGGAATGCACCCTGGGGGATGCAGCAGGGATAGCCCCAAGTGTGCTGCATTGGTGCTCCCTCATGTCACCTCAAAGCACTCACCTCTCCTGGGACTCTGACACCGTTGTCATGGCTGGGTGAGTTGTCTTCCCAAAGAAGAAGCTGGCCCACCACTGGCCGGGGTCAGACTTGGGCAGATCTGAGGAATGGTGCATGACAGGGAGAGTCCAGGTCACTGCAACCTGGGCAGCCCCACGGCCACCCCATCCTCATCCCACAGGAGAGGCTGGGTCACCTCCAGTAAGATTTCCCAAGGAGGGACTGGGAGCAGAGTCCCCATGAGCCAGGACAGGTGACTCTTACCTGGGCCGTGGGGGATGACCTCCCCAGAGTACTCTGAGCTGCAGGAGCTGGTGCTGGATGTGGAGCTCAGGCGCCCTGTGGAAAAATCGTGGCCATCAGAAGCACTGCTGACCCATGGCCGTGCCATGAGAAGGAAAGCACAGCCTTGGTGAGGCTGTGCCTGGGTGATACGGCTCAGCCTCATCACTAACTCACTCCACTACTGTCCCAATTTAGCACCAGGCCAGTAAAAACCACTAGGAAGGGAATACTGGGGAGATTCCAGCTGCAGGGAGCAGAAAAACACCTGAACACCTCAGTAGGAAAAAATATACAACCCCAAGGACAAAATTTGGTGGCTTTGAGAGGCCTCTGCAGATGACTTGAGGCCAAGAGGATGCAAATTCCTGTGTATAATCCATATGCTTTTAGTACAACAGCTACAAGCCTGCTGCTTGTTTCATCTCAAGGGAATCCTTTAATTCCCTCTGGTTTAAGCAATCCATTAAACCAGAAACTCTTTCCTGGGTGAAGTACCAGGAGCAACCATTGCCCAGACTGGTTTTGCAGCTCATTTCTGAAGCAACAGTGCGAGGTAAAGCCGTCCACTCTGTCCCCTACAACCTTAGTACCAAGTGAAGGAGATTTAAGCTCCCTTTTCTCACTAAATGCTCGTATGGGGCTGCAGCTGAAAGCACAGACCTGAGCTCAGCTCCATCTCTGCTGGAGCCACATCCCCCCACAGCTGGCAGAGACCCCCATGTGCTCAGCCCCCACCCCAAGCCCACCCCAGCCCCCAGCCCGCCCTTACTTCTGCGATAGTTGTGCGTGGCCATGAGCGAGCCGCTGGATGGGATGGATGCCATGGTTCCTGATCTTGGTTCTTGTGCAGATCTAAACCTGGGAGCACACAGGCAGCCGTCAACACCCACCGTGACCCACCCCTGCACCCCCAAAAGCTGCAGGGGTGAAAATGGAACCAGTGTGACTACTGGAGAAATGAGACGTGCAGCCCTGCACTGGGAACGGCGGCTGGTGCTCACTGCACATGGATTAAACCCACAGCTCCAAGAGCTACGTGCAAAGCCAAAACAATTCCGACATACACAACTGCGTGCCCAGAGCACAGCCCCTTCCCGACCCCACCTCCCCGGGTGTTTTTCTTGCAGGAATCCAGCTCCCCTCCTTGGATCAACATCTGGAGTTACAAAATCCCAGGCGGATGTTGCATAAGGAGCAAAGAAATGTTGAGCTGGGGCACACACCGAGGGTGTTCCTGCAAGAAGTTCCAGCCCCAGCCGTCCTCTGCAGCCTCCCCGTCACCCACAGCCGGGACAAACCCGCCTTTCACCTTTGATGTGGTTCAGCTCCAGTTCTGAACTGGAGAAGTTCTCTCTCTCTTCCGCCTGCAAAACACCTCCCTGCCAGCAGCTGACTCTTCCCACAGTCTGACCCCTTATTTTCCAAAAAAAAAAAAAAAAGCTCTAAAAAACCGCTCAGGGGGGTCACACGCGCCAGCTGCCAACAGCTGGCGGACACCGAGCGCCATCCGGGAGCATCAACCTTTCCTCCGCGGGGGAAATTCCGACAGCGCAGCTCCCTCACAGCGAACACGGCTCGGGGGCCATCCCGATCCCGTCTCAGCAGCGTACCTGGGCGGTGTTCGGGCTCCGGCGGGCAGGGCAGGGCAGGGCAGGGCAGGGCAGGGGGTCCGGCACGGCTCGGTGGCCGCCGATCGCTCGCACCGCACGGCCTGAGCCGCGGCGCTGCCGAGCCGCCCCCGCTGCGCGATTTTATCGCTCCCGACCCGCCCTGCCAAGGGACGGCCAATGGCAGCGGGGGCGGGCCCGGACACGCCCCTGACATTGTCGCGATTGTCGCCGAAAGGAGAGGGGACACCCTGCCAAAGCCACGCGGAGCGGTCAAACAACGCCCGGAACGCGGAGAGAGGGGATTGAAAAACCTCTGAGATGGTTCAGCTCCAGATCGGGAGAAATTTCTTTCTCCTTTCAAGAAATGTTGGGTTTAAAATGAGGATAAACATGAAAAGTAAATAAATATGGATTCGAGGGGTTCTGAGCTGGCTGGGGTTTATCAGTTTTGGGAAAGAACACTTTATTTCAGAGGAAAAGCTTGCAGCAAGGCCAAAGTACAACCCACACCACAGACCAGCTCCTCTGTGTTTGGGTACCAGGGTAGCATCCTGTACAGGTGCTGCTCCTTAAACCCCTGGTTTTGTGGGATGTGAGTCTGGGAGGGCCAAGGCAATGGGTGTGTGTATGAGGAAGCAGATCTGTTTAAGAGGAACAGAAACTTCACAGAAAATTTCTTTCTGTTTGGAACTGGAAATGGAATTGAGAACAAAACACTCGAAGAGATGCCAGAGCCTTAAGGTATCTCCACAAAGGCAGTTTGTACTCAGTATACCTAAAATGTTGCTCATTTTTTCTCCCCTAAAATTCAGTAATGCTCCAGGGCAAAGCTTTGCAGCCCAGCATGCTGAGGGATGCAGTAAAACCTTGCAGTTCAGGTGCAGCTGTGGGAAAGAACATTTTTGGGGGATGATGCTTTAGCCATTTTAGGGACTGAAGGCAGAAGGGAGCCGACATCGCAGCCTGGGCTGGTTCTGTCACAAACTCCCCGTGCAACGAGGTTCATTCCTCCCTACTCTGCTTTTTTCCTTATTAATCTGGAGTTATTCTTTAATCACCAGGATGAGGAACCAGTCCAGGGGAGGCTGGCCTGGGTTGCTCCAGGACATGGATCTCCCTGCACAGCTCATGGGGCAGTGAAAGGGCTGAGCTGCCCTCAGGGGTGTGATTCTCACAGGGGTATGGCCACCCCAGCATGGGGACACTCCATGTGAGCCATGTCCCCAGCTGACCCAAGAAGAAGGCCACCCTGACCACTGCCATGGACACTGCATGCACCTTCCCAGGAAAGCAGCCAGGACAGCTTTCAGGGAAAGACTTGGCACCAAAAGTCTGTAAATAAACAGATTATTTCCAAAATTTACCCCAGAGGTTTAAGTGCCAGCACAAGCACATGTGTGGTCCAGCTGAGGACTGAGTTCCTCCAGTTGTGCCTCAGGTTCCCCACTGATAATACTGACTCAGGACTTTCCAGGGAAAGATTTGGCTAAAGGTTGTGATGGACTTTGAATATACAAATTCCAAAAAGCAGTTTAACCAACCACGTGGTTGTTTTCATGCCCAGCACAAGGCTTTGTTTTTGTGCTGTGTGGCTGGGTTTGATCATTGGGTTGATTTCAGAGTCCTCACATTCCCAGCCCATTTGCTCCTGGCCCTGCCTGGCTGCACAGCATGGAGATTTCCACAGGCTTGGGAGATTTTTCTGGCCCAGAAGGGAATGACAGAAGGCTTAAAATTCAGTGCTTCAGACATGAAAAGTCACTTTTGTTTTAGTGTAGCCTCTGGTTCCTTTCTCAGGTTCTTCCTCAACTCCCTAGAGATGTATTCCTGCATCCTCCATCCCCCTAGTAATGTACAGAGCAATTAGAGTGTATTGATAGAAAGATTATATTCTATAATTGATTATATATATTCTCCCCAGCAGGTACAGGATGGCTGTGTACCCCACTGAGCCTGAGCAGGCTAACTGCTTTAATTAATGATGGAACAGAAATGAACAAACCTGCCCCAGTCCCTTTGTGCAATGACACCACTTACACCCACATTTGGGGCTGCTTTTAAAGGATCACCTCATTAAGCAGATGACACTGGGGGTGTGATGCTGCACCCACAGCCAGGAGGGGTGAATTGGGGCTTTGCTACTTCAGGAGGATTAGTCTCCAGCAAATCGTGCCTTGTTCTGCTTTTCCTCTCAAAATCAATTCCATTTTGCCTTAATGATGCAGCAGGAGCAGCATGGGTAGGACAGAGCAGCCAGGGGAGATTGATGGAGCCAGTCTGGTTTCCCAGGACAAAGCCTGTTCCTATCAGGTATGTGGAAAAGAGGAAGATACATTTCATTTATATTGATCAAGAAATAGTACTTTTAAAGTGAGCAGATGACAAGATTTGGATAGATTTTTCTCTTTGGTTTTCCTCTCATTAGAGCCTCTAGGCTAGAGCCTAGGACTGCAATCCTCCAGTTTGCTTTTCGGCAAGGTTTCTACGTTTTCCCTTTTTTTTTTTTTTTAATCTGGCTTTTAGCTTCTGGCAACTGACTTTTGTTATCTGCCATTTGTGTGAGCTGTTGAACTTGGCAGAAATTTCTGGAAGCTGGCAAAAGCTGCAGAGCTGAAGGAGCTGCTGCCTGTGGACTTCACCAGCACTTGTGGGCTAGCATCAGTGGGTGTTTGGGGTATCCCAATGGCTTCATGCTGCTACCAGATTCCTTCTAGGGATGTGATATCCCAGTGGCTTCAGGAATTTGGTCAAGAAAAGGTTGTCCAGCAGTCCCTTCCCCACCAGAGTGTGCAGCAATTTTCTCTCTGGGTAAGAAGGCAGCACTTAGTCCTGGCACAGCAGCAGAATCACAAAGCTCATCTCATTCCAACTCCCAGGGACACCTTCCACTAATCCAGAGAGCTCCAAGCCCTGTCCAACTTGACCTTGAACACTTCCAAGGACGGGGCAGCCACAGCTTCTCTGTGCAGCCGATTCACTAACACAGACTTGAGCTCTCTACAGCGCTACAAAGCTGACCCTGTCCCACGGAGGCGTTTCCCTAATTCTCCCTCTGTCGAGGATCTCTTGCTGCAGAGGAGGGAGCAGGCAGGACCTATGTTCAGGCTTGTCCTTCTTTCCTCCTCCTCCTCCCTCTGTCGCTCCTCCTCCTCCTCCTCCCCTGCCTTTTCCCGGCTCTGTTACTCATTGCCAGGTTTGGGATTAGGGCAGCGTCCGCCCGGCACAGGCAGCTGCTGCCACCTATGGATAATAAATACCCAAAATATTGAGCCCAGATGCCACATTATGGCCACCTCTGGTCAGAGCCAGAGCAGCTGTGACACCAAGCCTATGCTCAGGTTGTGGCCTGATGGAAACGCCTGGACATCTTCCCCTCTCTATAAATTTAAATCAGAAATTTAAATCGGGGTTTAAATCAGAAAAGGGAATGTCCTGGAAATGTAGGGAATTACTTTCCTTAAGCACAGTGCTCGAGCAGCATATTTTACCTGCCATGTGGAAATCATGCTCTGCCTTTCTGGGACGTGCAGCAGTGACCCAAGTGCCACCTTGTCAGAAGAATAAACCA